GTGGAATATCAGATACCTTAAACTAGAAACTCTCAGAATATGTAGATTAAAAGCAATTTAAAAAGAGAGTCAAGACTAAACACGCTTACAGAAAAGATTTCTGTAGAGCTAAAAGCTAAAAGTGCTTTAGTAATTAGAAATTGTATTTACTACAAATAGGAATTACAAACTGTTGGCATGTTTCTACTAAATTTCACATATATGACCTTACCTAAGGTTCCCTTCAGTGTTGATATGCATGTGGCTCCTGTATCAGGTCAGGATGATTTAGAATTGACATGTGGACGTTTTTTCCTGTACTCTTTCAGCACAGTTAATGTGACTTGTGTGAAGCAAGACAGTGAAAGAGAGCTCTTCTTGAAAAATGGGCAGGTGTTTTTTTTTTAGTAAGGGAAAGTACTGGCAAAATACATTTATGAGACATCTAAGACCTCTTAATAAGCTTGTGGTAGTATAAACAGGCTGAAGAAATTAGGTTATAGTTTGAGTTGGGTTTGTTTTCTTTTTTTCTTTAAAGTTGAATAGTCCAGAAGGCCTAATTTCTGTGAGTATATAACATTTACTGAAGTAGTTTGTTATTAGTAATATTTGTCACTAAATAGTATATATAACAAAAAACTTTAGTCAAGCTTCATTTAAACTCCTGTTCTTCACCTGCTTAAATATTTTGGTTTAATACTCTATTATACAAATTTTTTAATTCAGTGGCCTGCTTTCATTTAGAACAGGGTACTTTTAGTCCGGTGATAAAGCTGCACCTGAAAAATATTTTGTTATTCTCTTTTAAATTTGATGCTGCAGAGTGTGGGTGTGATTCTGACAGCTGAAGTTTTCCTGGCCACCTCATGCTATCACAAAAACTTTCAAACAATACCTGGTTTTATAGTGCAAGCCCCATGCCTGTCCCAATACAAAATATTAGTTTTAATAATGACTGAAGATCATTCCTGAGGGAATGATAAGCTCTAACTTTGCTAATGAAGAATCTTGTAGTAAAAGCTCTCCTATAATAAAAGGTGCAGTACAGAAAGACGCAGGTAGAAAACTATTCTTCTTTTTACTTTGAAGCTACCCTGTGAAAAATAATGCCAAGAATGGAAACACTGACAGAGCATGGTGAGATTTCTCTCCTAAAGCTATTGTCCATTCTACCACAGCTTGCATCTTTCTAGGACAGCAAAAATTCACACAAGGTTTCTTCACAGAAGGAGTTTTGTATACTAAACAGTCATAGCCAGGGTAAGGCTCAGGCTCCAGTGATTAAAGATCTTGGGAAAAAAAAAAAACAAAACTCTGGTTTATGCTACAGTATGGCATGATTTCACCTCACTAACAGCATCAAGGAGAGAGAAAGCAAGCATGTAATGTGTTGGATATGCAAAAGGTCTGGTGGAGAGAAAGAACAGGTGCTGGAACAGGGAGGTTTATGTCAGATGTGGAGGCTCAGAGGCATGTGTTTATTAGGAGTCTGCCAAAGGGACTACAGGGAATGGAGCAGAGGAAATTAGAAGATATTCAAACCTTCTGAAGATGGTGTAATGCAGGTTCAATAACTACCCCAAAGGAAGAAAGTGCATCTAAATCACTTAATAGTACTTCTGTTGTCCTCTCCTTCTGTTCTTGTCTGAGTTCAGGAAACATAACAAATGTTTAAACAGGGTTGTTTTTTTTTTCAAACTTGAAAAATATCTTTATTACCATACTGGTAAAAAACGTGTTAGTTTTCAATTTGCTGGAAGAAATAAGAAATTGATATATAGGCTTGAGAGGAGCAATAGTATGCAGAGTGTTTGCCCTTGGGAAGTGGCTGCTGCGATGGAACACAGCCATTTGGAGTCCCAGCAGCACATTTTCATGACCCACACTGTCTGGGTTTCCATCAGAGAGCTCAGACTGCCAAAGAGTGCCAGCCCTGCACTTAAAAGGATTGCACTTAGCTCAGGGTGTGAGTATCTTAACTGTACATTCAGATCAATGTGTTAGTCATGTTATCCTTTCAGTTGTTTTTTTTTTTCTGTTTATCTCCCTTATATTCAGTAACAACTTCTAAAATTTTATTTGAACAAAAAAAAAAATAATGTTTTCTCATGTTGAAATCTGTGTTCTTTTACATCTGAAGTATAAACCAGCGAGCAGTAAAAATTTAGTTCTATACTTTCATTGTTAATACACAAATTAAATTATGGGAGTGATTCTGTATCTTAATAGAGCAGGGCTTATTGTATAATAAAGTTGGGTCCACTTACATTTCTTGTACGTTTTTGAATCATTAAAAGTCTAGAAGTGATGAGGAACACTAAACCAACCTAAAACGCATCATGAATTTTCATCATCTCTTCCTTGTGAGATTTTTAAGCCTTGTATGCTCAGTACAGTTAGTGCAGAAAATTGGTCTTTAAAGGGAACAGCCCTGCATTTGCAAAGGACTGAACTGGGTTACGTGTCCTTTGCCAGGTCTGTTTTCCACCTGCTTTTAAGACAGGTGGAATATGAGGCACCTCAATGTCAGCTTAATCCTTCTGAAGGATTCCTTTTGCAAACTTTGGGGTTGTCCACACTTAGGAAGAAAACTTGTGTAGTGATGAGCAGTTCTCCCTCTAGGTCTATGTGAACAGTAGTATAGAATTTAGTTAAATAAAAACCTGCCACTGTAAAATCATTGAAGATATCCAAGTTCTAAAGAATTTATTATAATTGTTACAAATAACACCTAATTAGTTATATAAATAAAAATGAACTGGCTTATTGAACTCCAGCTTCTAGTCTTTTTCTTCTCACAGATGCTATGCTGACCAGTACGTAACTTTCTACTTTTAAAACTTACTTATGGAGTTGTGAAATTAATTTTACAAAATCAAAACACATGGAAAATAATATCTTCTTATGAAGCAGTATAACAAGGAATGCTTATAGTAGATGGTTTTTAAATAGATATCCCTTTGGGTTACTTTTTTTTTAAAATTATTCTTCTACCGAAAACCACTAAAGAGTTGGTTTAAAAAAAGTAAGATTTCAGAACAGTTTCAATAACGTTTGTCATTGCAAAAGACAAATTGCAGGGTGTTCTGGGTTCTTTCTGTAGGTACTAACCCGGCATATTATCCTTGCAGATAATTCTGTACTTTGGCATCTGAACATAGAGTGTCTGGGGCTCAGTGTTCCACTGTTCTGAGCAGAGATAAAAAAGGAGTTTCTCAGTAACCACTTCAGAGACAGTTTTTAAGGAAAAGTGATCTTTTCATTTAGATGAGAGGGCAGTTTAATGACTTTATAGAAATGAATCAGAGGGATTTTCTGTTAAACAGTAGCTGGAAAGTCTGTATTGCAACTGACTGAATCCCTTTTAGGCAAGCCTCTAACTTTTTCTCTCTGTATAATTATCACAAGAGGTGATAGCAGTAAATACAGTGACAAATTATACTACCTAAGAAACGCAGAGTAGCTCTGTGTTTACATTGTGAAATTTATCCCCCTTTGTTTTTTTTTTTTTAAATTCAAGTCATTAGCATTACATGCAAGGCAAATCTCATTAGCTTTTGAAACTATTGCAGATGACAAAATAAAGAACAAAACTACCAGTTGTACATCCAGGTGATAATGAAAGAATATTCAGTTCGATCACTAAGTTCACACTAGAAGTATCTCTGGTAGGGCAGAGGCAGTGGTCAGATACTGCTTTTGTATGTAATCAATTCTGTCCCTGTAGTACGGATTGCAGATTCCTTCTTTTGTTTTTTCCCCCAAAATGTAAACCTCTAAGTAACAAGGTCCACAGATTTCTAAATGAGAAATTTCAACTCTCTCTAATACTTTGTAGATGAAGTAGTAAAAATAGATTTTGTTCTCTTGGGGTTTAAATCTTCAAGGCTCTGTTACCTCAAGAGACTTTTGCTCCTGAACAAAATAGTTTTCAGTAGCATCCTCAGGGTATTTAACGCTTGCAGGGCTAAGTTTTTCCAGGTAGTTCTTAATACTAGCCAGAACTAGTTCCTTCTGGCTCCTATTTATTAGGCTCTTGCATTTTAAAGCTGTGCAGAACAGAGATTTGCAGTTTTTCTACATGCCAGGCAGTGCAGGAGGCAGGAGCTCAGTGCAGTTGGGAGTAAAACAGTAAAACAAGTAAAACTTGTGAACCCAAGTGTTAACACTTCACCCAGGTTCTTTATTAATCCTGCACAACACCAAAATATTGCAAGGAAGCTGTGTATATGCATATAAAGGAGTCATTTGATGTTAATCCTTAAACATGGTTTCCAGTAACCCAAATCCTGTTTGCCTTGACTTCGGAAAGGACAAATCAGGATTTGTGGCATAATGAAGTTTTCTGCATTATGAAATATTAGTGTGTTTAGCATTTCTCTTTTTATGTTACCTGGTTTATAAAAGAATTTTGCAAGAGAAGGTTTATATTAAATGACTCATATCTCTAGCTTATTCTCCTAAGATTCTGCAAAAGACTTTTCTATGTATTTGGATGACAGTATATGAGAATATACTATGTCATTTTTTAACAAATAGCAGAAAATTAATTTTCTGATTGCAGTTATATTAGATGTAGAAAAAGCAAAATATTTTACTTTCAATATCCTTCTTTCAGATGCACAAAGTAAATTGCAATTTTAATTTTTTTTTTCCAAAGCGCTTTTTACATATTTTGCAGTAGTGCCCTTTAATAGCTATATCAATATATTGTTTTATTTTTATTAGACTTCATAAATATATTGACATATCTGTAACACTAAACATGAAGCTTCCAATGCAAGAGTTTGTACATAGTCCATATCCAAATGTCACCATTATTTCATTTAAAAGGTCCCAGCATGTCTACCTCATGATCCTTATGAACTCTAATAGTACTGAAATACGTCAACACTTTTTCTTGCTACATTCATTAAAATTAAGCACCCTTCCCCTCCCCCATCTGTAAACATCAAGTCAATTGGCAGCTAGCACATTTCCCAGTCAGCAAGCAGTATTGTGAATTTTATCTTCTCTTGCAGAAATCAATTCGTCTTCGTTGCAGCAGATGAAATTTCTTGTAACACCTCTGCAGGTAACAATCATTGCTACTTCTTGATGCATCCATCCAGGTCTCAATATCCTTTTTCACATGCTGCATTTAATCGTAAGACAAGGCCTAGGAAAGTCCAGAGTATAAATCTTTGGGATAGTTTGATTAATTTATAGCTTCAGCCTGTAGGTTCTGCCATAGAAAAGCCATTAGGTTATTGTGCTGACTTTGGTGTTTTATTTCCAGTTTAAATATCATATGGCCTAGTACATAAGGATGTGTTAAACCTTCTGATAAAAACTTACTGGGCAGTGCAATCAAGAGTGGGACTTTCAAAAAGCCAAACCAAGCAGAACTGATGAAAAGGGTGAAGGCTTTTAGATGTTTGTAGGACATTGTAAGTGCTATAGATGTAACAATTTTCTTTTCAACTCTTTGGGGGCAAATGATGCCCACAAGGGTAATGCAGACCCTAAAGCACTCACAAAGTCTATCCTATGGATAAGATAGTGGGAGAGAGGGTCTATGCCTTCAGAGGATCGCTCTCTAGTAAGTAAAAAGTCTTGATATACTATTGTGTTGTAAACCTTGGGTACAGAAGAATGAATAATGTCTTTAAAAGGTAATGGTATTTTGTAAATATATTGAATATGTCAAGGGATTTTCTCTCTTTTAAGCAATAGAGTTTGAACAAGTTTAGTCTTAATTCAGGTAAGGATGGTATTATATTGCTGCATAAGAAATCAAAAGGCAAAATCAATAGTAATAAGTGATGGGACTTTTTCTGCCAAAAACGTTATGCAAAAAATCAAGTTCATAGAAGTTGCTGATATTGAAGGATGAAAGGGTATATAGTGTGAAACAAAATGTTGGTATTAAGAAGTGTTTATTTATAGAGTTTTATATTAGCAGAAATAAGTGAAAGGTGATGAGATTTCTGTTTATGCCATAATATTCTACATAGAAACAGTGAAGAGGATTTATTTATGAAAAAGAAAATCATAGCTAAACCCAAAATATGCTAAAATTGTAGTAATGTCTATGCTAGCTATAGCAACTTTGGTGGTAATCTGAAAAGTTCTTCTGTAATAAAACTTGATTTAACATGGAATTTTCCAAGTCCTATATCATAAATAAAATACATTTTGAGAAGTCAACACTTGTCACATTCTTGACGTCACTAGACTTGGATTTTCGCTTCCATTATTTCCCTTGAACTTCCAGCTCAGCTCTTCATTGGAGTGAGCTCTAGTAGGAAGGCTACTAATTTGTAAATCTAAGCCTTTCTAAGTCAGAATAAATATAATTATTTTAGCAATTTTTATACTTGGAACTCTTGAGTTAGATGTGGGGTCTTTGGGGCCTGTTTTGCAGAGTGAACCCTTCTAAGCATTAATTACTGCTCTAATGAAGACATTTTTTTCCCCTCAATTGAAGCACAATTTAAGTGCCCAAGAGTCTATTATACACATTCTCTATTGGAATTCCAGTCAAAAATATGACACTCTTATTTATCAGTACATTCAGTGAACTTTACACAAAAGGAAATACATCTCTCTGTATATTCATTAAAACTTTTCAGTTTACCAGCTGATTACCTCTGTTGAATTGATTCAACCATAAGGTATTTTTGTTAGGTATATTTTTGACCATATGATAAACACATCCGTCATAAGTGACTGTAGGTGCCTTTTTTTTGCAGTAAGGTATAAAGTGGAAAGCTAATGAAAGCCTGTATCTACTGTTTCTAATATACTAAAGTTTTAGTAATGGAATTTAAAGGACTTTTGGCTTTATAAAAAAAATTAATTCTCTGGCCCACATTCCTGGGATTCAAGTTGCCAAAGTTGAATTTGGTCTTTTGAATCTGTAAGTTGAGTTGCAAGTAATTTATTACCTGATGTTTTCTGTTTTAATACATGGAGCATATATAGAGATACATAAACCTTTGAAACCAAAGTTAACCTTCCTGTGGTTTTTCAGATGCATGCAAAACGCCTGCAGTATGATTTTATAGTGCCTTTTTTTAGTGCTCCTAAACAAAATTGCAGTGATTTAACTGTGTTTGTAAAATTGGTATAAAGTGAAGATACTGATAATATGCTCAATGTTTGAAATGTGAGTATATGTATGTTTGTATTGTTTCCTTGTAAAGAATGTGTGTCTTCGTAGACTACAAATAGTAATATAACAAGGAAAGTTTTGGTTGGAACTTTTTCTTCCGATGGAAATGGGAGGTCTTGGGTGATTCTGCTGGTAATATTCACTCTTCTCTCCCTAATACTTTATCATTCCTGCCAGAGGATACTTAGCCCTCAGCCACATGATAATCTTATTTGATTTGGGAATAAAGTAATCTGGAGTAGATAAATGTGTTAATGAACAGACATCGTGTCCATATACACATTTCTGTTTAAATATGTGTATCTGTTCTTGAATGCACATTGCATAAGGAAAACCTCTTCAGGTATCTGCCAGAGGGATCCTTCCATGGGAAATTTAAAAGCATTTCACTCTTGATTGCATCCAGTGCATTCTGAGGCTAAAAATAATTACTCTTCAGAAGAGAAGTTCTGCACTTCTGGGATAGATCTTCTCTGGCAGGAATGATTAAAGGGTTTGCAAACAGATCTGAGCTAGAACAGAGGCAGGGAAACTATCAGAAACCTCCTAGCAGTTTGATGATGGAATTTTAACAAGGATCTCTTGAAGACCTTCCTCTAGCAAATCTCTGACCATAGCTACATTTGGGGAAAATTAATCCTGAGGTTCTTGGCTGATGGGGGGCAATGGGCATCTTGCCCTGTCAGGCTCTGGATAAATCAGAATGAGACCCAGAATAAACCCTTGGTTTATTTACATGTAGGTTGCAGAAAACGTCGTTCATTTTGCATCTTTAGCATTTTTAGTGGATTTTTCAAATCAGTGCTCAATCTATTTTTTTTTCTTTTAGGTTTTATAAGATCAAAATTCATAGTTTGTAAAGAAACAGTATTTTTAGTTTCTTTTCCAAGTGCATTCTCGGATGTACCTGCATATTACATTTTATATCTTTTGTGTAAAAATGAGACAGGATCATTATTCCAGATTTATATTACTCTCTCCCTCTTCTTCCCATTTTTAACTGTTATGTGACCTCCATGTACAAACAAAATAATCCAGTGTGGATGCATGCTTGGTATTATTTTTCTCCCAAATGTATTTGCAGTTTATGGTTTTGAAATAACAGAGAGGCAAGTGTATATATAAACCTGAATTTACAGTGAAGTATGGTGGAAGTGGATATAACATCTGTCCAATTGTGACTGTATTTATTTACATTTCTGAGCAGAATCAGCCCCAGGAGGAGGAATTGTGTGCTTGTGTGTGCACGCAAAGGAAATGCTTTGTAAAGCTTTAAAAGTTGACAGTGTTAGATTAAGTTATTGACCTCCACTTGGAGAAAGATACAGTCTCCAAAATAGATTAAACATTCTGAAAGATTTCATTTTATAACTCCAGGAAAGCAGGCAGCTTGAGGAAACAAACATTGGAGTTTGTACTGTTGAAATATTTGAAGAGAAAGAATAATGGCCATTTTTAACAAATGCAATTGCTCCAATCATTGCAATTTTCCTCTATACCATCATTAACCTGTCAGCACTAACACTTGCCTCAAATGTAGTTCATTAAGCAATAGCAAATATGGAAATACTTATTTAAAAGCAAATCAGTATTGGATGAAGTGCTTAAAATGTTTACAGTGCCTGTTGTGGCAAACCTGCCTCTTCTGTGTTATATGAATAATTTTAGCCGGTCAAAATTCTGCCATACATACTTGCATACATCTCATTGACCTATTCGTGTGTCTGGGAGGAGGTATTGATCAGATTATACTCTCGCAAAAGAATTTTGAGAGGGTATAATCCAAACTGCTTTGGAAGAATGCAGCTTCAGAGGTATTTCCTTTAGCCTGTTAGAATTACTGTGTGAAGACATATGCTCAGTTGTGAGAGGTTCTTCCCTTTTAGTGTTGCTACCAATGGGTTTGACTTCATTTCATGAAGCAATTTGACTGGGAAAATAACCATTTTCTATGAGATGCTTTTATTATTATATTATGCTCTTCCACTAATCAAATAAAAAATGACGATGAAGTAGCATCTGTAAGGTCTTTGTGCTAGTATTTATTTAAGGCTGTACTGCTGTTCCCTGTGAAAAATAGCAGATACTGAAGTTTTTGCTCTGGAAAGACTAGGAAATGTTGCACTAATGCACAGAATTAAACTTCTTCTATAAATTCAAGTGTCCTTTATGTTGGCAGTTTTAACTTGCGTTTACTGCTGCTATAAATAGTTGCCTATATGGAATTCCATTTGTTACAGCTTTTACTGCTCTCGGTGGTTGTGTGGTAAAGATGTTCAGCTATTGGATCAGTTGATAAAAATCAGTAAACACTTTGATTATCCTCTGTTCTTCTTTCATGAAGTTTGATTAATTCCTTTTTCTCACCCAGTGAAAACACTGGCAGCCCTTTCTGGCATCTTTGTCACTATCTCTCTGACAGCTCTGCCTTCCCCGTGCTCGCAGTTCTAGGTCAGTTCGCATGGCTAGTCAAATGTGACAACATGACAAGATTAAGTAAAGCTGAGGTTCTGTGATTTGTAAATGGAGGATTTGCAATGTGAAGCTCCTTTGATAACAGGAATAGTGAATAATCTGTGTTTGTCCTCAACAAGTGCGTTAGAAGCATGTGTGCACCTTCTGGGCTGTTTTTTTCTAACGAAGCAACTGGATTTTTTTTCTCTCTGGTAGCCTGGAAATAGTGCACATGAACAATGGTCTGTGTGTGTGCATGTTTGTATGCCTATATACAATAATTAAATAAGCAAGGATTCAGTTTTAGTATCTTGAGATTATCATATTCCATTTAAAACATAAAGCAAAAAATACTCTGGTTGCATTCTGCAGAACTTTACACACAAGCACAAAAGACTGCTTTAAAATTTAATAAACAAAGTACTCAGTATATTTATTATTGAACTAGATAAGAACTTCTTCAA